ACCGTTTCACGTACGTGTGACAACCGGTGCTGTACCCAACGAAAGCCGTCAATTCAACGTGACAAGAAATATCGGTTTTCGGATTACACTTTGACACAATGAGTTACTTCACGTGAAAATAATTTACATTGGTTACGTAGACGTGTATCAGAATGAATAACTCAGGCATTTGCATGTGTTGTATTTTAGCGTATTAAATGAAGGCCACTGTATCCATAGTTACACTACGACCTTCGTGACACCGCATTAAAGTATCTACATGCTAGGTCGCAAAGCTCTGTGCGATATTTGTATGGGATTTGAAAGTGTAGATATGAAATGGTCATGTCAAACTTCATGACATTTGCCCTCCGTTGTCAGGCTATGCATTGCATCACGGTTGTATTAGATAGCAGTCTAGTTTGCTGCATAAATATTTGCAATAGTATTCGACCGCTGAGCTCACTGGAATTGCCGTTTCATTTTTTGTAATTCGAAATTATATACCGATATTATGTAAAACCATATACTGTCTTGGTCAAACTTAGATAAAACATGACCTACAGAAACAAAATAAACGATATAATCACATAATATTCACACAAGTAACTGTGCGACAATCTGCGCAAAGGAGTTCTAACTGAGTGTAAACCCCTAGATCTGATTCATTTCTATATATTGACAACGTAACATGAATTACGGCCGTTGGCAATTACAGGTCTAATTTACGTTATACAATTTAACACACTCCCCCACCTTCCCTACGCGCTTTATTATTAAGCCAACCTCGTTCAGCAATTCTCCCTCTTATCATCGGTCCATAAAACACGTTTCCCAGCTACATATTAGCAGTTGGAAACTAACTTCCTTGCATCTTTATTCAAAACCAATGAGCGTTAGTTCAGTCATTGAAAGGAACCATGAGCCCATTTAGTTCACGGGAACTGCACATTGTGCTGTCAATCAAACATTCGTTACTTTCACTTTAGTGGCAATCTCCTGAAAGGAATCTATGTATGGAGGAATGAAGCAAGTTGCCTTTGTAAGCCATCCTATCAATACGACACTTGTAGCGTAAAAAATAAACGAATTGCTGACATAGTTGTCAAATACTGTTGAATGACTTGGCTCTGAAACCACAATTTCTATCTTACCATTTTTACAAATATATTAACCACGATTATCAGTAGTCTACGTTACTATACTATTTGAGCGCAGTGTTCTAATGAAATGACGGGGAGGGTCATCAACCGTTTCACAATTATCCTATCCATCTCGCAAGGCAAATGATGCCTGGAATGGAGAGAAATATAATCTGTACTTAAGATTAAAATTACAATCATCTTAAAGAAGAATACAAACTGATTCGACAGAACGGGTTATCATACAATCTATCTCCGGCGATATGACAGTCGGTCTTTCATTCAATCACTGTCGATATTGCAGATTAATTACTCCGATATAGACCTACTAATGTTGAATTTGATGGTATTACAAAGCGACATTAAGAACAATCGATGGAATACGAGTGGGTCGATTGTCTATTTACTATCACATTATCTTGGTTAATTGGCATCATGTTTGTTTTAAATTGTAATATCACGTAATGTGTACGTGAATGTGTACTGTTGTAAATGTATTTATGTATAAGTATATAGGTCATATTGCGACGAATGTGTAGTGAGGGTGGCGGGAGTCTGCTAAATTTACGTCAACATGGTTTAACTCGCGCCTTTGTATGCATGGGGTTACCTGTCAATAAGAAAGTGTCAGTGAAAAGTGGTGACTCCGTCATCTAGAAACATATTGCTACTTCGAACGAGTTAATGCACCTCATTGAGTACACGCTACTCTTTACGCATATTCGAACACCTTCATCTGTAGTGTACGTATGTGACAAGGCCTTTTTTATTGCAATCTTCAGGTAAAACGCGATAGAGAAACCAGCGTACGTGTTTATGTATCTAATAACCTGATATTTATAAAAGGGGTCTTTATAACGTTGTGTTCATAAACAGTATATGCAGTAACTTTTGTAACTAGTAATTCAGTTAGTAGATTATTAACATATAATTGTGGATTATCGTGAGTAACTGTATTTGGCAGTTTTAAATGTAATTTACACAAGATTCGCCTCCGGTACGCCATAACGCACTGCCCCCCCCCCCAAATAGCATAGGGTGACTGTGTACTTACAGTGACTAGAAGGTCATGTGCAATGCGAATGTTTGACGCCTCAAACAACAAACAGAATATATTTCTCCACACGAATAAATCCTAGTAGTATATGGTCAGAACCATCATGAATATTCCAGGGCTTTTTTATGTACACAGCATATATTCATGTCACAATTCATTCAGTTTTAACACTTTTGATATTTAATACGCAAAAATAATTTAGTGGAAGTACAATTAAACCTATTGACACGAGAACTATATATCGTCACGTGACACCACTATAGCCAGACTTAAATTGCTTTTAAATTTGCCACTTTACACCAGGGAATAACTATTAGTAAACGAATGTCTGTTGATTAGCATATAAATAGTGAAAATCACAAATAATTGTAACGCACAATTTAGTAAATAATAGTCTCAGTTCAACGGCACATCAAAAGAAGACGCCAAGTACGGGAAGACGGAGTTGCGGTATTGAATGAACAATTACGGGATTGCGTTTAATTTAGCAAAAAGCTGTGACATAAATTGCCAAATGTAACGCAATAATACTAGCCAAACCAGTATAACGTAATAACGATGCATAAATTGCATTTGCTCAATTGACACATTCGAGCAGTTGATTAAAGTTCTTAATCTAGAAGCAATCGCATGATGACTTCGTGCGGACAACTTTCGTTCTGATCTTCCAGGTGAAAATGTAGCTTCAAATCAAATTTACAGTTGGTCTATTGAACATACCGGCAACTGACTGTTCGTATCGTCCTCGCGGTATTGTGAAGTTTATGAAGCGCGTCAAATCTGAACGCAATTTTAATGACAAATCACGACTTTCAATGATTTACATACAACATGCATACACCGCTCTCATATGCCATGGCTATTTTATCGTGAGTGGCATGTAAATTGCACAAATACAACTCAATGAAAATAAGAAATTAATAAGTATACTGCCCTCATGCGAAAAATATAATTACTATTCATGTATGATTTCGTTTTTAAGATAGTTGCTATTCATATGGTTCGACGTATTCCTTCCTTCGTTTGATACGCCCGTTATTTCATACTATAGATATTATGAATCACAATGAGTGAGTTGGAATGTATTACGAAATGCCAATAAAACGAAAGATTTTGCCATATCGCCTCAAGGTATTTTGTCAGTTGTCATTACCTATGTACTGTCAAATAATAAAATAATGTGGGTCTTTATGTCCGAGAACAATCTGGACGATGCGATCGGGCCATGTACCAACTAATACAGCATATGCCCAATAAAAACATGTAAAACAAGTCCATGAAATAGATAGATAATAAGGATGGTGATAACTGTTTTAAAACAAGAATGTAATATCCGAAATAATAGGCATAATAACACATGAAGGTCACGATCAGTTCGATTTTGATTTTGTCGTGTATGAATTTTTCTATATCATTTGGGTCATACAAAGGTCATTGATTGTGCGATTTATGCTAATCAGTAATCTATCCAACCTAACGTATATATGCACGTAATCTGTTTACACGCTGTCTATTCATTGCCGGACAAAGAAATCTCGCGTCTTAAATTGATTTTCAATTGATATTCAGATGACCGTATTTGACTGAATAGGGAAATTAAATTTGCCTTGTCAACAAAATCGTTCTTTTGCGGGATTTTACGATCCTAACATGAATTTGTTTTTTTTTCGAATTTGCGAGTCACGCACGAGCGGCGACTAACAAGGAAAAAAGATGATTCTAGAGAAATCGATTGCCTTACAAAGCGGTTTAATATATGCCATGTCATTGCTGCTGGGGTACAGTGTCATTTCCAATTACCATACTAGAAGTTTGCGACACACTCTGCTGTGGAAAACAGCAAAGGTCAAGTCGATGATAAGAGTTAGCAGTACGTGCGCGGTCACGGATACCTCGGGGATGGATATAGAAGTCAACTTGCTATTTTGTGCACCATCAGAAACGCCTTAGTACAATAGAATGTCTGCAACTATACGACAATACGTGGTCGGGAGTTCTGGGAAGACAAACTCACATTTTTTAAATACTTTTAATGCGTTTTGTAATACACATAGAAATGAAGTCAGTGATACAGACCCCTTAGTGTAAATCGCTCTTGTGAAAAATACTCTCATTTATCGAATATAGTACTAAGATTTCCACTTTCGAATTGCGATAACTATATGGTGCATCATTTCGCTCACTGAAAACGT